AGCATCCAGATCATACTATCAACTGGATAAGACTCTATATGGACTCAAATAGGCACCTAGAGTCTAGTATGAGGAATTATCTGATTTCCTAGTTGATTCTGATTTTCAAAGGGAACCATCAACACTACACTCTTTGTGATATTCCGAAAAAAATTAAATAAAATAAATAATTTTATTAGTCCGATAAAATGTTACGAAAGTGACATTTTAATAATTAAGTTAAACAGATAAAATATTAACATTAGTGGCATTTTTAGTCAGGTAAAAATATTTGAATAATAAAAGTGACCTTTTTATAATAATTATGTTGACCGGATAAGACTTTGACTTAAGTGACAAAAATGACGTTTTTGTAACAACCAATAAATATACATATGACATATATAATAAAAGTGAAATTTTAAACAATTTGAATCAGTCAATAACATGTTTACGAAAATACACTAAATAAAGAATGTAAGGTGAGCTTTAATGGACCTGAACGTTGGACCTAAATGACCAGAATATTGGGCATTAATATGTCGAAAAACTGCCCATTTAAAAACACATTAAAGGAGAAGAACGTTGAGCATTAACTGTTGTAATATCTGGTGTAACTATCATTTATTTATCTTTTTCTTACTCAACCACAATCATACGTTTTCATTTTATTCTCACTTTCTGTTGAGGTTAATTCGCCGTAGCCCGCAGGCCCAACACGTAACCTGGGGTTTCGAATGGGTGAAGGACAAATAAGATCAATAGACAACAGGGAATGGGCCAACAACTGTACTTTAATCACTCACACAATTACAAGCCGAAGAGCCGAACGTACTATGTTATGCTATGAACTGTTATTGCTGCTATAATGCTAGAGAGTCAGAATGTGAACCCTTTACAATGAAATAAATGCGACTATTTATACTACCCACGGGTGGTTGGGGGTGCTGACGTGGTTGGTTGTGGGCGACATGATCCCAACCACCAAATCTCCCACATTTAATGCGCTTCCCGCCAGGATCTTGGTTTCCCGCCATGACGTGGGTGTTGGGAAATTGATGTAACGTACCTCGAAAGTACGGCAACGGAAGTTTAAAATTTTTCCAAACAGATCTTCCCTGATTATGATAAAACAACGAATATAGCAATAATAACAGATTTGAGTTAGAACTTACAGATCTTCCTGCCTAGCGGTGATAATCCTTGACCTTAGGTATCCACGTGATTTCTCCTTTCCAAAAGAACGGTTAGATCTCCCGAAGAGAAAGACTAGGAAATCTCTTCGCAGAGAAATAAACAGGTAATACTGATTCTGAAAAATGGTCTATCAATTATGAAGGAGAAGGATGTATTTATACTAGTTCTAAACTAGTTTCCCAATCACAATGAAATTGTTCTTCATTAATGAGTTTTAATCCTAACAGGACCAATACTCCTTATTAATGATTCAATTAATTAAACAAAACAAAAATAACCAACAATAAGAGTAAAGTGGGCTTGCATGCCACTTTTACTCATGATCATTATTTATTTTTATTTTCTCTTTTCTTTTAATTCTAAATTATAAAGAAAAGTACCAACTTTATTTAATTAAAAATACATCTTAATTAAGTACAATAAATCCAATTTATTCCACTTAATTAATTCTATCAAATAGAACTCTCCTTCAACTTCATGGATTAAATATGTTTGATCTAATTAATATTTAATCCATTTTCAGTATTACTAATTAAATATTAATTAATCCAATTAATAATATTTAATTCCTTCTAACAATTCAATCGGAAGGTATAATCACTTGTTGTGTGACCCATAGGGCCTTATATATTAAACACTAATCAAATTAAGGTCTTAGTAGAATCCCTAGACGATTTACCAGACAACCTTAATATATAAGGACGTTTTGCGAGGACTATTCAAACTCCCTGTAATATAGAGCTCATAGTGATACGGTCCTTTCATTCAGCGAACATTCAACTAAGTCTAGAACATGATATAGTGTGTATCCCAATAACTCAGTCTCTGTCTCTCAATCTTTCTAGATGATCCATAACGATCATATTCGATATCCAAAATGAATATATCTTTGCATTGGCCAATGACTTTATGATCCATCTAGATATGAAAAGTAGAATGTTCTCTCTTAATCTACTATGAGGAATGAATCCTTTCTTGGCTCAACTACTACTCCATGTGCTTCATGATGCACCCAACACATGCCGTATCTACCCCGATTGGAGTGCAAGCGTTGGTCATGGTCAAAGTACATCACTCCGCACATGTAGTACGTATTGAACTCAAGTCGGAGGACTATTACACTACTCTATACGCCGATAATCCCATAGACACATGAATAGAACTTATCAAATGGTTTCTCGGTGGGTATGCCAATATTCTCTAAAATATCTATGTGACCATCATGAATTACATGAACTCATAGTTGTGAGATCAACTATACTTTCTAAAAGTATGATGCAGTCCACATACCAATCTTATTGCATATCATCAATATCTCATTCTTGATGATCATTGATTGGGGCTATTTTAGGACTTTATGTTATATCATATAAGCTCCCACTTACTTATTGACAACATAAGTCCAAGAGAACACAATTATGAATAAGATATTGACAATCGAAATACTTAATCATCAATGTGTAATACCGTATATATCAAATATATAAAACTGAATGTGATCAAGTACATATATCTCTAAAAAGTGATTGTCGCTAGGACATATATACTAACAATCTCCCACTTGGCCTAGTGCCAATCACCGATGCGTCTAACTCCTAGTCTCTTAAAAGTCTAGTATGTTTCTCGCATCTCAAAGGTTTGGTGAATGGGTGAGCCAAATTGTCCTCTACGGGAAGGCATTCTATTGTAACTTCTCATCTTGCTATTTGTTATCAAAACATGATAGCATACTGGTATTTTCTAGTTCCTTACTTCGCATCTTGGTTCCTTAGCTTGTGCAAATGCACCAGGTACAATCACAATAACAATTATTGGATAACTGTCGCTAGGAACTACCCCTATGTCTTTAAGGAACTAACGTATCTAAACGCTTACCTATGTTGCATCAAATGCAACAATTTACTAGGCTTTTGTTGTCGAATTTATAGTAGTTTCTAACTTGTAACTCTTTCGATGCTACTATTACATTGAGACTAAAAACATACATTGATTGTGACTCGTAGTCTTTCTTATCATACATGAAACTAGTGTTGGAATAATTAAATTCTACTAGTTCTTTTTGTCTACCATAGACAAAAAGATGTTCATGAAGATTTTGGGTGACCATCCTTTCACGGACTTCAATGAGGGGATATCATTCTCTATGATCAACATATATCATTATAAAGACCACATTATCCTTGTTGCGCACTCTAAACACGCAAGCACCCTCATTTCATTGGATGAGGTCAAACGATTTGACTATTTCATCAAAATTAACACTTCAACTCCTAGAGGTTTGTTTTAGCCCATAAATAGATTTCTCCGATTAACATACTGATATAAAATTTGACTTGGATAAAAAAAAACTTCAGTTTGTACCATGTACACCTCCTCCTCGAGGTTTCCATTAATGAAAGGGGTTTTGACATCTATTTGTCAAATCTCATAATCATATTATGCAGCTATAACAAGCAAAATCCAAATGGACTTCAGTTTTGCAACTGGCGAACAGGTATCATTATAGCCAATTCCTTTTCTTTGACTATAACCCTTAGCCTCTAGCATAGTTTTGTATGTTTGCACCTTGCCTTCAACATTAATTTTCTTCTTGAAAATCATTTGGATCCAATGGGTCCAACCCCAATAGGCAAGTCAACCAAGTTCCATACTTGATTGATACACATCGAGTCCATTTTAGATTTTATGGCTTCTCGCCACCTCTATGAATCAACATCTAATATTGCTTCTATGTGGGTCTCAGGTTCATCCCTATCAGGAATCTTAACATCATCATGATCCTCCATGAGGAAGCCAAACCTAGTTAGTTCATGACGAATCCTAGTAGACTCACAGAATTGAATGTTTTGCATTTTGTTTAGGTTGTTCATTCTGATCGTGAAGAGGTTCTCTTTCATTGGACTGTCCAATGCTCAGAGAGTTTTCTGGTGCTATACTCAGAGAGGGAGAGTTAGGTGCAGAAGGAATGATAACTATGTCATTACTTTCTTCATAAGAATCACTTGCTGGTGCGAAGCGCTTCCTATGTTACTCCCACTAGCTGAAGGATATCTTCATAGAGACATTCTTCAACTTAATTCTCTCACTGAATCCTTCGTTAGAAAATCTAACAAATCTTCATTCTCTATGTTACTTCAGATTTCAATTTGATTAGTGCACATTTCTTTACATATGTAGGGCAACCCATATTTAATATGTGAAGAAAATGTATTTTATTATACTATAACTCATATAGTACGTTTTGCACTAATCAAACTATTCAGAATGCATATTGAGATTTATAGCGTGTACCCTCAAAGAATGTTTGGAAGAGAAAATAAATTCATCATAGATCTAGCCATGTCTAACAAAGCCATATTTCTCCTTGCAGAAACGCCAGACTTCTAAGGTGTTCTCGAGGAGTTCATTATGACCGAATTCTTTGACCTTTTAAATAAATCAGAAATTTTACTTAAGTACTCTTTGGCTTGCTATCCTTTTTCCTAGAAAAGGTTTATTAGTCAAGTTACTTGAAAGACAAGATTCACAATTTGCATATGACTCAAAAGCAAATGGTGTTAAATAATCTAATTTATTTAACGTTGCTATTCTTGTTTCATTAATTTGACCAAGTTTGCAATGTCATAGATAGGTAGTAATTTTTCTGATTACTTAATCGAGATCCTTTTATTTTATTCATTTAATATCTAATATGTCGATTGATAATTAACCATTCATAAGAAAAGCATTTCCACAACAACACCATTTTACGAAAATAACAATTATTATTATCAAAATGGAAACAGAAATCTTTTAATGTCTAACATTTGAATGGAAATAATCTTCTTGGTAATAGAAGGAATAAAATAACAATTATTTAATTCTAATCTAAAACCACTGGGCAAATCTTAACTATAAGATCTTATCACGTTCAGCAGCAACTTTTGCTCCAGCCTTCACGCGTAGGTCAATTTTACCCAGTCCAACTGCTACACTGCTTCTCAGGCTTCTGCACATTTTTACAAATGTGTAAGCCATAAGTTGTATCTAATACTTTAATAATGAGAGTTAGTTATAGACATATTTATTTAATGATAAAAATACCTGAGCTTGAAGCACCCGGTGCTTTGGCTAGATTAGCCTTATACAGCTCACAATCTCTCTTCCAATGCCCCTTCTCTTTGCAGTAGAGGCAAACATCCTTTACAACCTTTGGCTTCATATGACCTCCACCTTTAGGCTTCAGAGCTGTAGGAGTAGGTCACCCCTAACCTTTCTTCTTTTGCTTATTCTTGTTCTTAGAACGAGACTTAGCATTAGAGCTTACCATAAGAACAATCTTTCCTTTAGAGGTTGAGGCTTCATAAGACTTGAGCATGTTATGGAGTTCAGGCATGGTCGCTTTCGTTTTGTTCAAATTATAATTCACAATGAAGTTAGTGAATGAACTCGGAAGCGAATATAGGATGATAGCAGCTGAGACACGATCCTCAAACTTAATTCCGGTGGTAGCAACTCTTTCAATTAAGCCAATCATTTTGAGGACGTGCTCAGATACGTTTCCACCCTCTTGAAGCCTACACTTGAAAATGTCTGTCAGAAGTTCATACTCTAGAGTCTGACTTTCTGAATCAAACAGACTTTTCAAGTGTTCAAACATCTCGAAAGCGCTCATCCTATCGTGTTGCGTTTGCAACTCCATAGACATTGCAGCCAACATAACACATTGCACAGTTTTGACATCAGTGACGTGTTTCTCTCGAACAGTCAGGTCAAATGTGGCAAACTCAGGAGAGTTGGCATCAGGAATCTTGGGTACTGGTGTGTCTAACACATACTCAATATTTTCTTGTCTAAGAACTAAACGCACATTTCTTTCCCAGTCCAGAAAGTTTGGTCCAGTAAGCTTGCATGTATCCAAGATACTTCTCAATGATAAATTCGACATTCCTAAAAGCCTAAAGAAGTTCAAATAGAACGGAATTAAAATCATATATTAATTCCTATGATCATATCTAGTTAACTAAATAATATGGACTTTTAATTATTTAGCTCCCACTATTTTTCATGCTCTTTGACCCCAATAAAAAGAACATGGAATGTTTTACAATCATAGTGGCCAAGATCCACATTCATACTATTATAGTCTCAGCTTGGGCTGATCACTGTAATAATATCATGGGTAGGTCCCTAGACCAATTGTGTCCAAACAACTCTTGGTTGATCAGTTTTTAAATTGATCGACATCCTTAAATTAACACTGACGCTTGGGCGACTCGAGCTAATTTAAGTAAGTCATAACCATCACACGATCACAAACATGTGTATCTATAAATTAGTTCTATATTTTGTCGAATGGAATAAACACTTGGGTGAAATATTCTTCAACGAAAAAAATATTTCTACTAATTTAATTATGATGGGTGATATCGTTATCCTAGATAAGACTTAAATTTTAATTTATGGGGAACATTTATCGGGTTATTAAATTATTCTATTTAATCAAGATGCTAAAACATATTATCAAATAATATGTTAACGAGATCTAACTCAGACATGTAAAATTAAGCATGCAATATAAATCTAATTTATCAAGAAATATAATAGTTAAATAACTAATTAAGCATGCTCAATCAATAATGATAATACAACTATCGATTAAAATTAAAAATTAATTGTTGTAATCTCAAAGATACGTAATCTAATTAAAAGGGTTAATTTAATGTAGTTATTATTATACGAAGTAGTAACTACGGAGTATAATAATAATACCGATCTCCAAATACTAGCAAACAACGAGTTCAGTGTTTCAGTTTGAGTAAACCGATCAGAACTTTACCCTTTTAGAATTCTAGGAAATTAATTGCAAATAGATCCTCAAGTTAAATCTAATTTAGTTATAATTATAATAATTAAAAATTGCAGGCCGCTACTTCACTACAAATTACGTATTTCATACCACTACGTATTTTAGGTGAGCAGCCAATCAAATTAGAAAAAATATATGTATAGAGGATTGAAGTAAATCGTCGACAAAAGTTCTGCTGCACAAAACCTTCATCTAGTATACGTATTTACTCAATGTTTATCTTGAAAGTGCAATCAACTTGGAGATTAAATCACATCCATATTTTTAATTTCAAAATTAAAATCTTTATATACGATAGTGCTACAAATGCTACAGAGTTCTCTAACTTTTGATTTCAAAAATCATTTCGAATTCAGATTCGGAAATAAAAATAGGGATAAATATATTTTACGAAAAATATATATAACCCACGAAACTATTGATAAAAATTCGTATAATGCCATTAGAATCAGTTTGGCTCTCATACCACTGTTGGGAAATTGATGTAACGTACCTCGAAAGTACGACAACGGAAGTTTAAAATTTTTCAAACAGATCTTCCCTGATTATGACAAAACAACGAATATAGCAATAATAACATATCTGAGTTAGAACTTACAGATCTTCCAGCCTAGCGGTGATAATCCTTGACCTTAGGTATCCACGTGATTTCTCCTTTCAAAAAAACGTTTAGATCTCCCGAAGAGAAAGGCTAGGAAATCTCTTCGCAGGGAAATAAACAGGTAATACTGATTCTGAAAACTGGTCTATCAATTATGAAGGAGAATGATGTATTTATACTAGTTCTAAACTAGTTTCCTAATCACAATGAAAGTGTTCTTCATTAATGAGTTTTAATCCTAACAGGACCAATACTCCTTATTAATGATTCAATTAATTAAACAAAACAAAAATAACCAACAATAAGAGTAAAGTGGGCTTGCACGCCACTTTTACTCATGATCATTATTTATTTTTATTTTCTCTTTTCTTTTAATTCTAAATTATAAAGAAAAGTACCAACTTTATTTAATTAAAAATACATCTTAATTAAGTACAATAAATCCAATTTATTCCACTTAATTAATTCTATCAAATAGAACTCTCCTTCAACTTCATGGATTAAATATGTTTAATCTAATTAATATTTAATCCATTTTCAGTATTACTAAATAAATATTATTTAATCCAATTAATAATATTTAATTCCTTCTAACAATTCAATCGGAAGGTATAATCACTTGTTGTGTGACCCATAGGGCCTTATATATTAAACACTAATCAAATTAAGGTCTTAGTAGAATTCCTAGACGATTTACCAGACAAACTTAATATATAAGGACGTTTTGCGAGGACTATTCAAACTCCCAGTAATATAGAGCTCATAGTGATACGGTCCTTTCATTCAGCGAACATTCAACTAAGTCTAGAACATGATATAGTGCGTATCCCAATAACTCAGTCTCTGTCTCTCAATCTTTCTAGATGATCCATAACGATCATATTCGATATCCAAAACGAATATATCTTTGCACTGGCGAATGACTTTATGATCCATCTAGATATGAGAAGTAGAATGTTCTCTCTTAATCTATTATGAGGAATGAATCCTTTCTTGGCTCAACTACTACTCCATGTGCTTCGTGATGCACCCAACACATGCCGTATCTACCCCGATTGGAGTGCAAGCGTTGGTCATGGTCAAAGTACATCACTCCGCACATGTAGTACGTATTGAACTCAAGTCGGAGGACTATTACACTACTCTATACGCCGATAATCCCATAGACACATGAATAGAACTTATCAAATGGTTTCTCGGTGGGTATGCCAATATTCTCTAAAATATCTATGTGACCATCATGAATTACATGAACTCATAGTTGTGAGATCAACTATACTTTCTAAAAGTATGATGCAGTCCACATCCCAATCTTATCACATATCATCAATATCCCATTCTTGATGATCATTGATTGGGGTTATTTTAGGACTTTATGTTATATCATATAAGCTCTCACTTACTTATTGACAACATAAGTCCAAGAGAACACAATTATGAATAAGATATTGACAATCGAAATACTTAATCATCAATGTGTAATACCATATATATCAAATATATAAAACTGAATGTGATCAAGTACATATATCTCTAAAAAGTGATTGTCGCTAGGACATATATACTAACAGTGGGGACGTTCGTCCCTCAGGGCTGGACCCAATCATCTGGTGGCAGCCACATCCCTTGGGTAGAAACCATGAGACGTACGCCCCCTGGCCCTTGGGGCCCTGAAGCTTGTCATACTGGACTACGTACGTCCCCTGGCCCTTGGGGCCCTTAAGCTTGATCATGCTGGACTACGCACGTCCCCTGTCCCTTGGGCCCTGAAGCTTGGGTATGCTGGACTACGTATGTCCCCTGGCCCATGGGCCCTGGAGCTTGGTCATACTGGACTACGTACGTCCCTTGCCCTTGGGCCTTGAAGCTTAGGTATGCTGGACTACGTACATCCCCTGGCCCTTGGGCTCTGTAGCTTGGTCATACTGGACTACGTACGTCCCCTGGCCCTTGGGCCCTGGAGCTTCCTTTTGGGCCCGTAGTAGATGCTCTTGGGTGGTCCTTAAGGGTTGATGGGCCGACCCTGTGTCGAGCCATTAACCCAACACAAGTCCCCCACTTCTGATGTTCCGAGCATGCACGGGACATAAAGAAGTAATTAGCTCCCTCCGTGCCGCTTTGAGCCGTTGTCCCTCTTCCCCCGAAGTGACAGTTGCTTCCCCGTCGTTGTTCACGGGGCTCTAGGTGGCAGTTATCCTGGCCGGTTCAACTTCCGATGCAAAAGTAATCATTTCATACCTGCCCGTCCCAACATGACACGTGTCCCTGGGTACGCTCCTCGCCACGTGTCATCCGTGGGTTGGGCACTAAAGAGGCGCTTCCTCTTTATAAATACTGGAATCGCAGGTAGGGTTAGAGTTTGCTATCCTCTACTTCTTTCCAATTTTCCAGCGTTGTTCAGCGAGAGTCCCTGGTTTCCGCGTTAGTCCCTCTTTCAAGGCTCCGTAAGGTAATTCTCTGATCCAACTCTTCCCCCTTTCTTCTCGCAATCCTCTCCATGGCCTGCTCCATGGAGATCTCCTCCGATTCGGATACTGGTTTTGGCTCTTCTTCCGGTTCTACTGTCGGGTCCTCTTCCGCGCCGAGCCCTAGGTCCCGTTCTTCGGAGGGAACAAGTAGTTCTGGCCGTTTCAACGCTTCCACAATGGCGATCCCTGTGGCGACAGATGATGTCGCGGCCTCGGGTGCAGAGGAGTATGTTGATATGGACGCCGTTCCTGAGAACGCCGTAGCGGTGGTAGCGCAACCTGACGCGGATGTGGAGCACTCAGCCGATTCCGACTCTGGCAAAGAGGCCGAGGAGGGGGATGATCTCCAAGTATTCATGCTTGGTGTCCCCATGGATCAGCACCGGCACATAGTGCTTATCCCTAACGTCGCCGTGCTCGATCAGGTCTTCTCTAGGAGGGCCCTGAGGGAGCTGCAGACACTTCTCCCCCACCATTTTACTACAGCCTCCGGGATGCGGAAAACCTCTTTAGAAGGCATCCGGGCATGGTGATGGTGCACATGGATTCAATAAAGGCCGGGCTGCGCTTCCCACTCCACCCGTTCTATCTTGACTTTTTCGACTTTTATAGTGTTGTTCCGGTCCAATTTATGCCAAACTCCTACTGTCTGATCTCCGCCTTCATCGTTCGTTGTAAATCGCAAGGGCTCACCCCTACTCTGGAACTCTTCCATTATTTCTTCCAAGTCACCCCTCAAAACGCCGATGGGTTTCTGTGTGTGGCCGCTCGTCCCAAAAAGAAACTGTTCGAGGGGGCTCCCACTTCCATCCATGATCGGAAGAATCGTTTTTTCTTCATTCGTTATGCAGACGAGCGGCTTCCTGTTAGGTGGAATGGGTATCCCCTGAAGATTAAGACGCCAGAGTTGACCCAGGAATTGCAAAACACCATGGATAAGCTAAAGCTGGGCGACATTAAAAAGCTGAAGGACCTCCTGACCATTCAGGCACTCTCCGATGCAGGGATAGGTATCGCCCGTGATCCCTAGACTGACATTCTCTCGTGTTCATCTTGAGGTGAGTGCCTTTGTGATTCGCACCGCCCGGTTCTAATGTTGCTTCTTTGTTTCATGTCTTCCTCCCACTCAGGAACAAATGTATCGTGAATCTATGGTAGCCCGTCGTGAGGCCAAGGCCAACAAGGAACGAGCGGCGCTGGCGAAAGCTCATGGGGCCACTCAGTCCTCCGAGGCTAACTCTTCTGCCGCGTCCCAGGCAGACAAGCGTGTTGCAGACGCCGAGAGGCTTCTGATGGCCGAGGTGACTGGGCAGAATTCTGAAGCCCAGTCTGCCCAAGATAACCGGGTTCTAAATGTGGATCCGATCGGCGTTGCTGTCCCTGTTGGCGGGGGAAAGGATAAAGGGAAAATGCCGAAAAGGCCGCACGTCGAGCCATCCGGTCCCAAACCTGCTGACACTGTGGTGGCCCCCGTCGTCCGTCTGATTTCTGAGATATGGAAGGATATGGCCCTTTAGGCCGGATTGGAGACGTCGAATCGTTCTCCCGGCGATTCCGTCGATCATGCCCTGCTCCTGAAGCTTGAGGTACGTTCCTCTGACTTCCCTCTTGCCATCTGATCCGCTATCCGTCCCCTCCTGACTCCTTATTCTTCTTCTTTATAGGCTGGGCTAGCCATGTTGCGGGCAAGGGCCGCTCGGGAGAAGGATCTTGCCGAGCTCAAGAGGAAAGCCGGTACGGCTTTGAAGAAAGAGCGGGAGGCCATGCAATTGCGGGAGGCTGCCCAAGCGGAGATGGAAAAGGTCCAGGCTGCCTTGGCTCAGGCTAAACAGGAGCTCCAGGCCGCCCGGACTCAGAGCTAACAGGAGAAGCAAGGTCTTCTTTCCAAGGTGGCCCTAGCCGAGAAGCATGGGATTTCCTTTGTCCCCGTTGCAGACCCTTCCCCGCGTCCTGAAGGCGGACCTTCCTCCGGCGATGTTCTGACCCTGGTCCTTAATGTGGAGGAGTTTAAGAAGACATCCCAGTTCCTTCAGGCCGCTCATGAATACTGTCGGGGAGCCGCTGGAGAAGTCTTCGAGGCCGAGCTGCAGCCTGTGCCAGAAAGAGATCGTTTATCTCATGGGGTGCGGCTTTTACAGAAAACTGAGCTCGGTGGTGAATGGCTTGCAGAGATTGCTGATGATGTCTTTGCCAAGGGGTATTATGAGGGTGTTAAGGCCCTCAAGAGTGTCCTACCTCTGGCCGGCTGCCCCCCTTTTAATGTGGAGGACTATACGGAAGGAGCAGAGCTTCGGCGGGTCATGGGGAAGATTGACCGAGATCAGCGGCGTGCCGATGCCGTTCAGAGGGGTGAAATTCCTAATCCCTTGACTCCTAAGCCTCTCTTTGATGAGCTGGAAGAGCCTCAGCCCTCCGAACCACGTCCCCCCCCCCCCCTCATGGTTTCCTTGCATGATTTGTTTAGTTTCATTTTGCTTATTTCTATGCCCCGGCCAGTAGAGCCGAAGAATAGAAATTCCTTTGCCCTTGTCGATTTATGGTCTACTTTATTTATTTGCAGCTCCCCTTGTTCGTTCCCTGCTTTCTCTAGCGAGGAACGACTCTTCCTCCTTTCTCCCATTTCTCTCTTTTTTCTTCTTCTTTAGCGAGGAACGACTCTTCCTCCTTTCTCCCATTTTTCTCTTTTTTCTTCTTCTTTAGCGAGGAACGACTCTTCCTCCTTTCTCCCATTTCTCTTTTTTTCTTCTTCTTTAGCGAGGACCGACTCTTCCTTCTTTCTCCCATTTCTCTCTTTTTCCTTCTTCTTTAGCGAGGAACGGCTCTTCCTCCTTTCTCCCATTTTTCTCTTTCTTCTTCTTCTTTAGCGAGGAACGGCTCTTCCTCCTTTCTCCCATTTCTCTCTCTCTCTTTTTTTGGGAAAAGAAAGACGTTCGTCTCATTGCGGGAAAAGCAGATCTCGAAGCGTCGCGCCAGCCGCAAGATATACCAAACACGGTCCGCCACGTGTCTTTCCCCAATTTGGGAAAAGGTGGTGGTGTTGCCTATAAATACTCTATTGCCCAAAGTGGGAATCATTTTGTTACTCTGCTAGATTATTTTCTCTCTCTAGACCTTCATTTTTCCTTCGTAAGTCCTGTAAGTTCTGTGTTTTCTATCCGTTCCTTGCTATAACTTCCTTGCCCCTAGACAATCTTCCCGCGGCCGTTTTGAAGGTTCATCTGATGACGGCTGCAATTCAGGGGACGACCTCTCGGTCTACCAGCGTGGGATGCCCCCAGCCCCCTCGTTATTCTCTTAACTTTCACCTCGTCCGGCGTCAGCGCCAACGTCGGCTTCATAGTGAAAAGAATCTAATTCCCCAGCTGCTCCCCCCCATGGGGCTGGGACGCACGGTTCCTCCGTCGTCCCATGCGACATTTACCTGGTCATGTGGTCGTTCACCTGGATTCTGTGGTTGCGGGCTTCCTCTTCCCGTTGTTGCCCTTCCACGTCTCTTTCTTCAGGGGTCTGGGCATTGCCCCGTCACAGCTCGTCCCGAACTCCCACCAGATTCTTGCCGGTTTCATTATTCGGTGCCACCATGTGGGGGTTGAGTCGTCCATGAAATTATTTTTGGATTTCTTCCGGCTTTCCCCGTGTGGCCCGCCCGAGCGGTTGGGAGGATAGATTTTTCCTTGCTCGGTTTGATTCCCATCCCCCCTTTTCCGACCGGTGGAATGCTTATCCTGTTAAGTTTGAGCCTCTGGTCCTACATTCGGCCAAGCTGGAGCAGGCCGCACGTATTGCCGGTGAGGGGGTCCAGAACTTGCGTTCACTGGTGAATGACACCAATTTGGGCAAGGTCGGCATAGGTACGTCCTCGCAGTGACCCGGGTTTTGGACTCTCCCTTCGTGATTTCTAAGCATTGCTCTAAATTTCCTATCTCCTTTATGCAGGACTTTACCCCAGATCTTCTGCCATGGTTCCTCACGTTCATGCAACCTCCTCCTTGGGTCGGGCCGATGTTAACAAGAGAAAGCATATCGTCGGTGATGATCAGGGCCTAAAGAGGCCTAAAGCTGAAGGATCCGCCAGGGACGAACGGATTCCCAAGAAGTCCCGTCATGGGGAAGGATCTTCCCAGGCCGTGGTGATCCTTGATGGGTCGGAAAATGAAGCCGCTCTCCTCCTAGGCCGCCACCCGTTACTTCGGTGGGTAAGAGCTCGTGCGATCCTCCTCCGCCCGGTTCCGATAATTCTTTTTCTGACATCATTGAGTTCTCTGGGTTGGGTCCCCATGCGGAGTCGAAGAGACTGTTTGGTAAGACGGCCTCTTCCATCTGGTGCTCTTTGGGGTTGAAACTCCCTCATGACTTCGTCGCTCGTGAGAGCCCGATGGACCTTCATGAGTGCGGCCTTAGCACCCTTAGTAAGGCTGCTGTTTATTTCTGCAAGGCACGGTTTTGACTATGAGGCTCAGGAGCGTGCTTCCGCCCAGGTGCATTCCGAAGCCGAGGATCTGGTGAAGAAGGCCAACGAGCGCCTGAATAAGATGCAGCAGGACCTGAACGTTGCTCTTGGGCTTGCTAAGGGGAGTTCCTCTCTTCAGGAGACGGTCAAGAAGCAAGCCGAGGAACTGCAGCTGCTTCGTGCCAAGATGGACGCCGTGGAGAAATCCGACGTGCAGCTTCGCCAGGTTGGTGTGGAGGGGGTCGTTCCTATTTTTGAGGTCGATGTTTCCAAAATCAAGGACGCTGGCTCCATTGAGTTTCAGAAATCCAAGGCCTATGTCGATGTCGTGAACGTTCGTGTGAAGGAGCGCCTTTGTAACACCCCCATTTTTCCCACCCAAATAAAATCACATTTTTAAATGAAACCATCTTTATTATTAAACATATTTAGAATACAGCGGAAGTCTTTAAGGGAAAAACAGGTGCATCACCGCCACACTCAACCTATACATGATTGAGTGCACAGGCTATCCACCATAAGTTCAAATAACAATGAAATGGGTCTTAGGACAAAGTTTATGAATTACAAATTTAAACAACGATAATTAATCAAACGTGTGCAACTAGCGGAACACTCGGGCAGCAAGTACATCAATCTTCATAATCATAATCATCTGTACAATAGAGAAAAGAGAAGAAGACAAAAGACACAAAAATTAGCTTTAGAGCTAAGTAAGATTCCACCTGAACCCGTAAAATAATATAATTTGGAAAATAGGTTTGGTATATGTATATATATAGAAAATACCCTCTCATATCTCCAAAATAACTTCATGTCTCAAAATAATTTCTTCAATAGATAATGTCATTCCTCAATTCCTCCAAAAGTAATACTTTAGATTTCTTTTAAGAGTGGGCGAAACTCAAGATTCCTCGAGCCCAACGGGTCGTTGTTATTTACGACTCATCCCGGAATTCCGGCTCCCACCGACCACCAATTTGGAAGCTGAATTTCTACCTTAAGTGTGCACACCCTCTAAAAGGGATTCCAAGCCCTCCGAGTAGTAAGAAACCCAAGTAGGCAGGATGTTTTCTACCACCTACTCACAAGGGACATTGTCCAGGGGTAGATTAGGTAACTACTACTACGACCACCAAAGGACCTTTGGTCCTCAAATAGAAGCCCGGGATGTCTACCGGAGCATGTCATTGCCGGACTGGTTACCGACCCAAATAAATTTCACCAAAAGTAGTAGTAGTCCTAATCACCCACGCCTCGTGTTTCTCTCGAGACGTAAAAGTATATTATGAAAAACTTTAAGTTTTCTCCCAAAGTCATTCTTGTCACACTTTCCAAAAATATACTTTGTAATAAATATCAATCCACCAATATTCTTTAATAAAAGAATATACATTTAATAATCCATAATAGATAATAATCCATCAATATCCATACATTCAAAATATTCATTCCATGTCAAACAAATAGTTTCCAATTCATAAATAGTCCACATAGTTCAAATATTGCATACATATAAATACGAGATAAAACATTTTTGGTTGACATAGAACTTACCTTAAATTACGATAATCCCCTTAATAAAATCTCTAGCTTGGCCTTCACTTGAATTCACCTTCTAATATATATCAAAACTATAAATCAATACTTATTCTATTATTTGTGTTATTTCCTATCTATCCAACCTTTAATTATTTTAATTATTTTAATTTCATATTTCCTTATTTAAATATAACTTTTACGTTAGATTCATAAATCTTATTTAATTGTTAATTTTCAATCCAACCTTATTATTTTCTTTAATCATACTAATCCCCTCCATAATTTACTTTAACTTATTTGGTTAATTAGTTAACTAGTCTAATTAAATTAATTACATAATAGTTTCAATATTTCGAATTTAAATAATCAATTTCAGTTTACATAATTTATATAATTTATTTAATAAACCTTTGAATAATAATTTTCCGTAATCAATAATTCGAAATATTAATCATTAATGATAATCTATTCTCAATAATAACTTTAATTAGTTTAATAGTTTATTTATACTAACTAATCCAATTACCATAACTAATTCAATCCTCCAGTTTATTTATTTGGCTAACTAAATTAATTTAATTAATTTCATCAACTAAATAAGTTTAATTATATAAATATAGTTAAATACATTAATCTAATTCAATTAAGGCAATCAATCAAATTCTAATTTCGTTTTAATTTTATATTTTTAATATAAAGTCCAACAATATTAATACGTCCATAATTTAATTAATTTATCCATTAAACTAATTGATTTAGTTAAACTAGTCTAATGGAGTCGATTAACTAAATTATTAAGTACATATTACTTAATTAATTAGTTTGTATTAATCAACTAATTTTTATGAGTTCATATAGTTTAATAATTTATATGGAGTCCAAAAAGTAACAATTAAGGATGATAATTATTAATTTAATCACACTAATTTAATTAGTCCACTAATTAAATGATTTATTTATTAAGTCCAAATATAGTCATTCATTTATACTAGCTATCCCAACTTTATTTTCTTTTCTTTATTTTATTCCAAACCTCATTTTTAGTCCATAATATTATTTCCCATCTTAGTGATTTTATTTATTTCACCATTATTAATCAATTTTCTTATTTAATTACTTAACTAGTTTTATATGGCCCAATTAAATTAAATAGCTTAATAATCGACTTTATAAATTTATAATAGTTCATAACCATATTTGGTATTTAATTTATATTTTTCCAGATTTTATTTATTTCATTTACTATTTTATTTTTAATTTTTATTGCAAATGGGCCGAACTGGCCCATTAAACTGACCCGGCCCAAGAAGACTGGATTGTCTTCCTCCCCATTCTTCTCCAGGTCGTTTTCCGGCGACCGGAAAATTAAGGAAACTTCGGCGAGCTATAACTTGACTTACAGGTAACGGATTTCGACGATTCAAGTTGCAAATTGATCCTGGCGGCAAGACGAAGCTCCGTCACCCCTATCGACGGCAAAATATCCGCTTCCGCTGAAGACCCGCTTCCACGACTTGTAACTCCGGCGAGCTCTAGGATGCTCCGGTGACTACGAATCGGTATGGAATTTATTGGGAAGTATTCCTAGACCTCTCACGACCCTCCTCTATCGTTTTTACGAAGTTTGATACGTAAAATAGTATAGTTATAAATTTTCCGGCGAGATTATGTATATATATGTATATGTATATATAGCTTCTATCTCTCCGATTTGCAGTGTTTGGGATGGCTAAGAGGGTGTATTTATAGGTCTAGATGGTCCTTATGGTTTATTTTATTTATTTGATAATTGTATGAATAATAATAATAATAATAATAATAATAATAATAATAATAATAATAATAATAATAATAATAATAATAATAATAATAATAATAATAATAATGTATATGATAGGTTGGTAGTTGATGAACATGGCATGTGTATTGATTCATGATTTGATTCCCATTTATGCTGATGTTTAATTTTATTTTATTTTATTTTCTTTTATTTTAATTTTTACATATAAATATATATAATTATATATGTAAAAATATGTATATAATGTATATACATTATTTGGTAGGTGATCCTAGCATGTGTCATTGTTTTATGATCTGATATTTTCATTTATTTATTTGATGCTATTATTAGTAATTTTTAATATTCTTACTATTTTTATTTATTTATTTATTTATTTATTTCGTCATCTATATTTTATCTGATTTATTTCTATTTTATTTTTATTTTATTTTTTCGATGCCACATAAGTGTTTAATTTTATTGCATGTAGCATGCATATATTTTTATACACCAAGTATAATACAACATATTTTTATTTATATTACTTTCATTTGATTTATCAGATATAACTAATCTGATTTATTTATTTATTTATTTTTATTTCAAATTTTCAAGGTATCACATTACTTGTAACACCCCGGCCCCGAGGTAGTTACTTCAGACCTCTAGTACTGTCCTCACAAACCGCCACTAGCCTTTTCCGCGCACTTTGTCCTCACTCGTGTGCGTCCTGAGAAACTTCCCAGGGGGTCACCCATCCCAAGACTACTCCCGTGCAAGCACGCTTAACTTTGGAATTCTTGCTAATGAACTCCCTTAAAAGGAGATGCACCTTTGTTGGTATGAGTAGTACTATTAATCTGTTTAAATTAAATCTCAAGTATTACAGCCTTGCCTAGAGCTTCGGGTAATATTTGGCTAAGAGCTCTGACATGTTGAAGGACGATATTGAGCTGGTATCGAAGACCCTCACCGGCCAGGAATTCCTTGCGGAGCTTGCCGACGATGCTTTTGCCAAGGGAATGATCGGCCTTTTGGCCGGAAATCTCCCGGCCCTTGAGCGTTATCTCCCCACTCCATTTGATCCTGAAGCTGCTAGTTTCAATGCCTCGTTTGCTGAGGCCTATGAGGAGGCTTTGAAGGAGAAGTCCCAGGCGAAGGGCGGCCCCTCTTTGTAGTTGAGGGATTTTTTTTTCAAGTTTCGTACGCTAGTCGCACGTTATGACTAGCAGGCCGCCTCCCTCATAGCGCCTAATGTTTTTAAGATGGCTTACTTCACCCCTCACGCCTTTGAGAAATCTTTTGGCCTTCAAACGATCTTGGTCTGCAGCCGGGCGTCAGTTTGGGTTCATAGAAAGCTCTTGCAGGCACATCTATATTCAAGGATAGCTCCCTGAGGCGTGGTGGCTCCGGTTATTTTGTACTCTTGATTTCACTTAGAACTCGTGTATGATTATGTACTTTCCGGTCGGTGGAGCCGATGAATAAAGTGTATTGCCTGATTGCCATGATCGTCTTTCAACTCCGTCCCTATTGCCTCTTTTTTAAGGAGGTCTCTAACTTCATCCCATCATCCGCTCGTCTTACCTGCCCATTTGGCTCGGTCCTTTGGATCCCGAGTTGGGCTCGGTCGCGAATCCGTGATTGTGATGTGGAACAGGTTTATCCCCTTTGGGGATTCCCCGTTCTTCGTCCCGTCATCCGCTCGTCTTACCTGCCCATTTGGCCCGGTCCTTTGGATCCTGAGATGGGCTCGGCCGCGATTGTGATGCGGAACGGGTTTATCCCCTTTGGGGATTCCCCGTTCTTCGTCCCGTCATCCGCTCGTCTTACCTGTCCATTTGGCCCGGTCCTTTGGATCCTGAGCTGGGCTCGGCCGCGATTGTGATGCGGAACGGGTTTATCCCCTTTGGGGATTCCCCGTTCTTCGTCCCGTCATTCGCTCATCTTACCTGCCCATTTGGCCCGGTCCTTTGGATCCTGAGCTAGGCTCGGCCGCGATTGTGATGCGGAATGGGTTTATCCCCTTTGGGGATTCACCAGTGCCCCTCTCTTTTCTTTTTTTAGGGTCTTCAGCTTCGTCCCGTCGTACGCTCGTCTTACCTGCCCATTTGGCTCGGTCCTTTGGATCCTGAGCTGGACTCGGCCGCGATTGTGATGCGGAACAGGTTTATCCCCTTTGGGGATTCCCCGTTCTTCGTCCCGTCATCCGCTCGTCTTACCTGCCTATTTGGCCCGGTCCTTTGGATCCTGACTTGGCCTCGGCCGCGATTGTGATGCGGAACGGGTTTATCTCCTTTGGGGATTTCCAGTTCTTCGTCCCGTCATCCGCTCGTCTTACCTGCCCGTTTGGCCCGGTCCTTTGGATCCTGAGTTGGGCTCGGCCGCGATTGTGATGCAGAACGGGTTTATCCCCTTTGGGGATTCCCTAGTGCCCCTCTTTTTTTGAGGGGTCTTTCGTGCGGTGGTGGTCCCGTTCGGATGATTGGTACCGCCCAAACGAGAATGTCTATCTCCTCTGGGTCTTTATATTTTGATCTAAATTAAAGTGAGAACTATTTTATGGAACGAAGGGAGAAAATTTAAAAAATGAGCACCAAGAGACTTCACGAAAAGTGGTGGTTAGCATCATCACAATATATTTTTCTATTTTTCGTATAGTCTATGGGAAAAGGATATGAGACAGGTAGGGAGAAAGGATGTCGATTTATTTTTGGGAAAATGGTTAGGTAAGACCTTCTATTATTACAAAATATATATCTTCACATAAGATCATGTACTCAATAAAGTGTCATATAAATACATCTACTTGTAAAAAGCAACCGGATGAGTCCTAATGATGCGTTGACAACCTCATAATCCCGATTTTAGCTCACATGTTGTTATTTTTATCTTGTATTTAAGTAAATCCTGGGTATATATTCCACGTTAGTCATATAATCTATTTTAAAAGATAGTCAGATGTATGTTAAAATTGTGATTACAAGGTTGTCAAAAGGTTGTTAGGACTCCTCCGATTGTTTTTTATAAGTGGATATTTTTATATAATCATTTATTGAGTACATGATCTCATGTGACAATTTCATAATACTAGAAGATCTTATTGGAGTGTTCTATTTATTTTTTGCTTTAACAAAGATAAGTGAGTAGTGACACTAACGACAACAATGTAGCACAAATCATGAATAGTGACATAATAAATTGTTAATGACATAAAAACAATCACTAACTTGCATCATTGCCCAATCCCTAATTCCCTTTCCATAGTAAGTCACATTTTATTTAGGGAGAACTATCAAATAAGCTATCGAACTTACATAAAACGCACAAATAAGCCATTTTATAGGAGGCTCTGTCCGGCCGTCATCATTTGTGGCGGTTCCCGGTGGAATTTTTTATGAAATGTTTTGAGAATCATATTCATTAAGTCTAGTTTACTCATACCAAATTTCAGATAAATATTCAATCCGGAAGGCACTCAAATAAATTTTTGAAGATAATTGCGCAGTTAAACAGCGCAATATAATTCAGAAAACCACGTGACTGCCTTCTCGGTTGAAGTTTTATCTGAAATTTGGTATGAGTAAACTAGACGTAATGATGAACATGCTCAAAAAATTTCATCAAAATATTCCACCAGAAACAGACCCAAATGGCGACGGTCGGACAGAGCCTCCTATAAAAGTTCTTATTTGCACTTTTTATGTAAGTTCAAGGGCTTATTTGATAGTTCTCCCTTTTATTTATATATTATGAAAATGGTTACTTTTTCTAGAAGGGAAATGCTTAGTGTACATAGTTGTACACAAACTGTACACAAAACCTCCCTAGTTGTCTGTGTACACAGACAATTCATTTAGAAAAGGGCAGAATTTGTTACTCAATTGTCTGTGTACACAGGCAATGTACACGTTTTGTGTACATCTTGTGTACACCAAGCATGACCCTTTATAGAAATACATTTCAATATAGAAAAATGCTAAGTGTACATATGATGTACACAAAGTGTACATCATATAAAAGACCCAAAAAAATCTCATTTCCTTCCCCCCTTCTCTCTCTATTCTCTTTCCTCCCTCCTCCCTTCTCTCTTTCCTGCATTCGAATATCTCAAAAAAATGAGAGATCATCTTGCCTTCTTCATCCTCTTCATCCCTTCTTCATTCTCTTTTTCTCTACCTTTTTATATCAATTTTTTTATATTATTTGCACAAAATCAGTTTATTCATTTTATTCCATCTATTTTTAGTAAATTTTTATGTTTTCAAATTATATGTAAATTTATCACACATACAACTACATCATTCATTTGGATATATATAGACAATTGAAATTGATCACACCAACAACTAAAGTTGATCACACAGACAACTATTGTCTGTGAGACGTACAACTATTGTCTGTGTGGTAAATATTGTCTGTGCACACAGAAAAATAATTGTTTGTGCAACATGAAAATATTGTTTGTGCACACAGGCACTGCACATATATTGATTGATTTGCAAGTTAGTGTCTGTGTCAGACGGCTGTCAGTCTACTTTTTACAAAAAAGTAAATGTCTGTGGACACAGACAAAAGTTGTCTGTGTACACAGACAACTCTTGTCTATGTCCACAGACAATTCCGCACCAATTGTTTGTGACCGACATTTTGTGTACAAGTTGTGTACAACTTGTGTACCCCAAGCATTGTTGATCAATATAAAAATACGTTATGTCTATACATACATAAAAAAAACCTTACACAGACATGTGTAAAAGGTGTGTACACAAAAAGTGTGTACCCCAAGTCCAACTCATCAATATAATACTCCCAATATTTAATGGAAGGTTCTTGTATAGAAAATATGTACACAAGTTGTACACTGATTGTGTACACATACATTTTGGCATAAAGAGCCTGTTTGATAGCCCTTTTTTGGCTTATCAAGCTTATCAGTCAGTTTA